TAAAACCATGCCGGGGGGGGGGGAGATGGATATAAAGACCACTTTTCTCCTTTCCCCATAATATTAGAATTTGAGGGCACCCAGTGAAGTTGATGGGCATAGGATAAGGACACGCAAAAAAATTATGTATTTATTTATTTATTTCATTGACTTTTATCCCGCCCTTCCAGTCTAGGCTGGCTCAGGGCGGCTTACAACAGAATACAAAAGTTCTCATAATACATAAAACACGATTCATCACACTAATACAGTTCCTGATAAATAATAATTAATATAAAAACCGTGTTAAAATCAAACATAGTGTTAAAGGGCTAGTAATTCCAGTTGTTGCTTTAGTTCTATTGGTCTGCTTCACTTTGGGGGGGAGTGGGCAGTAGTCACAGCGAGCAGCGGCTCAGGGCTTCCATCATGGTTGTCAGTTGTTACTGATAGTGACACCAATAGTTGTGGTAGTGGCAGTTCCAAAGGCCGGGCGGAAGAGCTCCGTTTTGCAGGCACTGTGGAGCTGTGAAAGCTCCCGCAGGGCCCTGGTCTCCTCTGGGACCTCGTTCCACCAGAGTGGAGCCGCCACCAAAAAGGCCCTGGCCCTGGTTGTTGCCAACCTGGCCTCCATGGTACTTGGGAGGACCAGTCGGTTCTGGGTCCCTGAACGCAGTGCTCTCCGGGGCATATATGGGGAAAGGCAGTCCCTCAGGTATGCTGGACCCTGGCCAGAAAGGGCTTTAAAGGTAAGAACCAGCACCTTGAAGCTTCTTTACTCAACAAATAATTTAAATGCAGAATTCACGGCCAGCGGCTGTCCTGATGGCTCCAAGTGTAGGTAGTTTTTACAGGGGGTTACGACAGATTCAAGGAGAGTTAAGTCCACCAATGCCTATTAGCTGTGGTGAGTAAAGGGAACCTCCATACCCAGAGGTGGCAAACCTCTGAATACCAGAGCTAGGAGACAGCATCGGGGGGAAACCTTTTGGCCTCTGTGCCCTGCTTCTTGGCCCTCCAGGGCAACTAGTTGGCTACTGTGTGAAACAGTGTGCAGGACGAGATGGACCACTGAACTGATCATGCAGGGCACTTCTTACGTTCTTAGGTCACAGTGCTTCTTTTTCATCTGCTACCCTGACCTTTAAGGGTACCCCCCCATTCTGTACATCTTCCCTACTTTGTCAACTACAGAAGACTCTGTTCCAGATTTGAAAAAATCCCAAGGAAACGATATACGAGATAAACAGGTTGCTTACCAGTAACTGGTAATCTTTGAGTGGTCATCTGTGCATTCACACCACCCGCCCTCCTGCCCCGCTGCTGTCTTCTTCTACCTGTTTTATTAGGAGTTGATACGCGGCGGTTTGTAGGAACTGGCGGGATGTCCGCGCCCGTCCCTCTGGGCATGCGCAGTGGGGCTCCTGCGCATGCCCGGAGGGGCTGGGTGCGAAAATCCTTTAAAAGAGCTTGCTACAGCACCGGCAGATCCAGCGCAGGCGCACTAGATCCCATTGGTGTGAATGCACAGATGACCACTCGAAGATCTTTCTTTATTTTATCTTTTTTAGTAATTTGTTCTTTAAAAAAACTTTAAAAAACACCTTTATTTTCTTCTGAGGCGAATTTACCTCAGGCCTTCGGGCCGCCCCCCCCACACACACCATTTTTTTCCACCTCTCTTCTTATGGAGAAGAAGTGGCGATTTTTCAATAGATGCAGACGTTGTGGTAGCAAACTTGCTCCTCCCGACCGTCCTACCCTCTGCATTTTTTGCCTTGGAGAGTCTTACAAGCCAGAGTCCTGTCGTCACTGCGCTCGATTCTCTAACCAAACGAGAAAGAACCGCGCTGCACGCCTTAAAGTGGCGCTGCTAGATCCCATTGGTGTGAAGCACAGAGACCACGTCGAAGATCCAGGTTTCCTTACAAGGAGATTTTCAGTAAAGCATCAAACTTATAGAAAATGCAGGCTGAGCCATCAGCTGGGCCTCAAGCACGCACACATACAGAGGAGCCTGCCAGAATCCGAGACCACTTGCATAATTAAAACTAGGCAACTTATGCCCTAAATGCTGGCTACCAGTCATATAATCATTAATGAAGCTCTCCCAAACACTTCGATGAGACGGGTACTCTTGCAGGCTTTGACGATAAACTCTGCTAACAAGCATGAAAGAGAGAGAGAAAGTTTGCTTGAGAGCAACCAATCACCATTCTTCCGCAAGATCTTGATAGATATCCTAAATTCAGAGTGCCTAATCAAATTAGATATCGTTCAGTCCCGGTGGCATATTTAACACACCTTGATATAAATAAATATAGGAAAGCCTACACACTAGCTAGACGTGAGGCTCTCCCCTCTGCAGTGCTCAAGGGCAGAAACAGAAGAGTTCCCCTTGCACAGAGACTTTGTAAATGTGAGTCTGGGGAGATAGAAACTATTGAACATATGAAGTTTAGATGTAAGTGGTACCATAAGGCTCGAGATAGATTAATTCAACCTCTTATTAAAGAGATGCCTGGGCAGACAGACTCGGAGTGTTGTAATAAAATGTTATCGGATGAAAATCACTCTATTACTAAGATTGTGGCTAAATTTTGGGTGGCATGCCGTTGCATTCGAAAAGGACAGCTTAACTTGTAAAATCGCAATTCTCTCCTTTTTAGTGTGTTTTTTAGTGAATCTGTTATATGTATTCTATAGTTTTATATTGTGTCGTTTGTGATGTTTTATTTTGGTGCCCCTCGGTGAGGTGTTTGGATTGTTCTGGCTGGATGCCGTAATAAAATTTCTTTCTTTCTTCTTTCTCATTCTTCCGCAGGACTTGGGCTAACTAAGCACCAGCCTGGAACAAAGATGGAGTCATGCAGGCCATACGGAATCCTGTTACCCCCAAGGTGATTAGGCAAGCATTCCTTATATCTTTCTTATTTTTTGAAAGAACAGAAAATATAAAGAAAATACAGAAGGGGGGGGGGAAGGATTGCCTAACATAATTAAATACATCACATATAACCGAATATAAAAGACAGAATAATATTCCTTCCCAGCGTCATTACATTGAGAAGTTTTGTGGACTTTGTCTATAACCTACAGCAATATTTACTTCCGATGGGTACATTCAGGGCTTTTTTTGTAGAAAAAGCCCAGCAGGAACTCATTACCATAATAGGCCACACCCAACAACAGGAACTCATTAGCATATTAGGCCACACCCCCGACAGCACAGCTCATTTGCCTATTAGGCCACCCCCCCATATTACCAGAAGTGTGTTCATCCAGCCACACTCACCTTTTGCTTGTTATTCTGTTTACCTTGTTTGTGGTCAAAACCCAGGGCTTTTTTTGTAGCAGGAACTCCTTTGCATGTTAGGCTACACACCCCTAATTGTAGCCAATCCTAATGAGTCTCTGCTGTTGGGTGTGGCCTGTTATGCTAATGAGTTCCTGCTAGGCATGGCCAACTCCGGAGCCAGCCGGAACTCCGTTCCTGTGCGTTCCTGCCCAAAAATAGCCCTGGGTACATTTATATTTCTGACAAACACTCGTTTCCAAGCCCCTCTTCCCTACAGTGCGTCTCACCAATACTGCGGTGTTGGCCACGGTGGTAGCGGACGTCTGCACCACGGCCTGGGGCTGCTGGACCACTTGGGCTTGGGCCTGGGACTGCGGCTGGGCTTGCTGGACGGTGGCTTGCTGGGTTTGTGATTGGCCAGATTGCTGCTGCTGCTGCGGACCTGCCTGCTGCTGGGCCCTTTGCTGCTCAGCCAGAGCCTGGGCAATGAAAAGGGCAAAGACTGATTCTCCGCTCAAACAAATGGGCATTGAAGTATCTTCTCCACCAAAACCTTCAGGGAGACTCCCCCCCTCCCCCCCAGACAGAGGATTATGCTTTACCCACCAACAGATGCATTAAAAAAGTATTCTAAAAGCACTTTCACACATGCTGAATAATGTACTTTCAATCCACTTCCTCCCTCTTTTAAACATTTTGCTAAGATTTTCAAATCACAAACAATCAATAAAACATTCAATTGAACAAACATAGAGAAGAAGAGAATCCAACGTAATTGTCAACATGCATATTTAGTGCTTTCGATTTAAGCATATATTGCGTATCTACAAAGGAAAAGGTAAATTGTATTTTATCGTACTATTACTTACTGTTAAGTACAGTAGGATATTATTCAAACAGTAACTTCAATGCAGTTTTCTTGGTGCCTATACTTGGAATAACCTCTTGTTCAGTCAAATATTCCAGTGCAATATACCATTTTTCAGCGAAATTAAAGCGTGGAGAGTGTGGGTCATAATGTTGTATCTGAGCTGATGTTTTTTCCTTCACAAATTGTGCCCAGATTTTACAGTGCCAAATGCCAGCATCAGAGCTGACTTACTTTTCCAATTGGGTGCAATAGCTGTTTTCTCTGCCACTAATAAAGTGAAGATTAGATCTTTTCTAATTTTAGGGATTGCAGGTTCAGGCCATTAATTCAAGAACAGGACTTCAGGTGTAAGAGGAACACAGTAACTTGAGATGGAACATATTCAATTCAGTACATCTACCTAAAATTGTATAATATTTGTGCACTGCAACCAGCAGACCCCGGATGTTCCTACCTCGTCGCAATTTTTCCAACAAAATCTTGATTGAGAAGCTGTCATGTGGGGAGTTTTAAGTGGCGTATGATACCAGTGGGTTAATATTTTGAACACTTGTATTTTTGTATTAATTACAGGTGATGTAAAATCAGGAGAGCATCAGATTTTTGTCCAGATATCCACTTTCAGTGCATTTCGCAACTAGTACTTACTGTGTGAAATGGGAAAAGACAATTGCAAAACAATTGCTAAAGTATACTGAAAGTGCCTTATTGGGTTTCCGGTTTTGGCGCTTTGAGCGATGGCGGTGTCTCTTGGTTCCTCCGAGAGACGTGTGCCATGAATAGGGGATTAGGGGGGAGCGTGATTGTGCATGCTCCCCCATGAAGCACATAGACAATGGGCTTCTAGCCAGGGGCCGGTACAGGGGGGCTACTCTCTGCCCTGAAGGTCCTGCCCTGATTCCCAGTACTGGATTAGAAGCGACCACCGGGACAAGCATTTGGAGGTTTAGCGATTTTCTCTGCCTGGCGTGATCCCAGGGGCCATCTTAGGGCCTGGTGGATCGATTCAAGGCAGGGGTCATTTCGTAGAAAAAGAGCTAGGGGGACTCATTAGCATAACTCATTAGCATATGCCACACACCCTGACATCACTGGAAGTGTGTCCTCCCCACAGCCGGCGGCGATCTCCTGGTTAAGTGCGCGGACTCTAATCTGAGAGAACCGGGTTTGATTCCCCACTCCTCCACTTGCACCTGCTGGGTTACCTTGGGCAAGCCATAGTTCTCTCTGAGCTGTTCTTGAAAGGGCAGTTCTCAAAAGCGCTCTCTCAGCCCCGCCTACCTCACAGGGGTGTCTGTTGGGGGAAGGGGAAGGGAAAGGAGTTTGTAAGCCGCTCTGAGACTCCAAGTGAAGGGCGGGATATAAATCCAATCTCTTCTTCTTCTTCTTCTTCTTCTTCTTCTTCTTCTTCTTCTTCTTAAGCAAATGCGAAAGCAAGGATGGAGGGACTGATCAAATTGTGGCGATGGACTGTAACGGAGAATTTTTCTAAAAGAAAGCTGAGCGTTTAAACAGACCTTAGAGACTTTGGCATTCTTTCTCAGCTGATGTAAATATCCCCAAAAGATGGCGACGAGTGGCGAAGAGGGAGGCGGGATCAATGCTTTCTTCAGGAAGGAGGACAGTGGAAAGTTAGGTCACGTGACCTAACCATAGACTCTGTCTTTAAAGTGAATCATGGGCCCTCTGGTGTCTAAAGTGAGAAGCGACCTGGATCTGTACTAAAAGCAGCTACACTTTTCAAGGGACAGTACGTGGATCATAGAGACGTATGAATGGTAAGGAGACTCTAAAGTTTAGTTCTTTGTGGCTGGATTGGCAAGCTGATCAA